GTTTGGTATAAAAAAATTACCTTCAATATGGAGTATGATCACCCCTAGAAGCAATAAAGCACATACGGGATGTGTGATGCTGTCAATTATGCAGTAAGTTCCATAGGAAATGAAAGCCATTCCTCTTGCAAAGCATGCAAGCATGGCAAGGGTCTAAACAGAAGGACTGAGAACAACTATACGTCTTCCTAAAGCATCTTAAACATGCTTGATACGATTAAGGTCCGGTGATCAAGCTGGACACTCAATGCGCTGATTTATTTGCTGCTGAAAATAATCAGCCACGATGCGAAACGTGTGCTGTCTACCATTGTAGTCATGCAGGAAATCATCACATATTGTCCCAGCATGAGGATGCCCATAAGCATTAAGGATGATGTCATCTCAATAGGCCTGAGCATTCACAGTTCAACATGAAAAGTCATGGAGGTCTGTGTATCCCCTCAAACAGATACCACCCCAAGCACAGACACTGCCTCCTACATGTGCATCTCTTTCACCGATGTTTGATGGATGATAATAGGTTCCAGGTTCTCTTCAAAATCAAATAATGCCTATTACCACTTTTCAGGCTAAACCTGGACTTATTTGCAAACAGAGCAGCCGTCCAGTGGACATGCTGATGTGCACGCCTCAAACGTTCTCTTTTATGATGTAACGTGAGCGGCACACAAATGGCTGGTCGCTGGCATACAGACCTCCTTCATGAAACCATCTACACACAGTTGATGTTAACATCAGCTTTCTGGTGGCTGTAGCAAGGAAGGATCTGAGTTGAGTCGGAATTGTGGTTCTATTCCTTCATGTGCATAACAACAAATATCGGTCATCAGCACTCATTGTAGCAGTTGGCCCTCCTGGGCTGAACTTCCTGGATACCAAATCTATGGTTAGAAATTGTTGCCTATGATCACAGAAGTCTATGACCCACAGAAGGACACACATTTAGCCATCTAGCCACTTCTGTCTGACTTTGTTCTGCCTCTAGTCTCCCAATAGCACTCCATCACAGTTCTTCAGGGAGATGATGCCTGGAGGTCACTGCTACAAACTGGCTATCCCCAATTTCTTTTCTCAGTATCACAGCGAAATTTGCAGGTTTGCTGTGAAAGATGTAATTTGTACTCCTTGCGGATGACATATTCCAAATGCAGCGCCACTAATTTGCTTATTGCAATTTTACTTAGCAACTCTTATTTGACAACATATTCAAATTTTATATTGATTGAATTATTTTTGAAGGAGTTATCACTATTTTTCATGATTTTTCTTTAATTTTTGGAAAACAGTGTATTAGCAAAAGTATATTACCATTTAAATGATTTTTTAATATATAAATGAATATAAACGTTATTACACAAATTTCATCATTATTTATGACTTACCTTCTCATACACATATTAGTACGTGGAAGAAAAGACAAAATTTGCATATTACACGACATCAGAAATATGCCAGCACAATACTGTTAGTCGAACCCCCCGGCCCGGAAAAAAAAAACTTTTGAAACTTTAGCGATAAATCACTCAAACTGGCAACTTTTTAAGAAATTTTCTTCTTTACTAACAACATGACAACTACATCTAGAAAAATGTTTCATTCCCTTTAGATTCAAAAACACTTTTTGACTATTAGCTTATTTTTTGTGTGAAGGTTAAGATGGATTTTACAGTTTGGCAAATCCATCAGATTGTTCCAAGACAAATAAAATGAACACATTGGAAAGAAAAAGACTTTATTCTGATAACCATCCAATAAAGTTATACCTGAATTATAATTCAATGCCGAAACAGCAACGCAGACTACAATCATGCTGAGAAACACAGGACTGCTAACACAAACGCTATTTTATGGATCATGTACTATTCCTTTCTCTTGCTGCTTTACGATTTTGTTGCACTAAGAGTTTATATCTGTTGAATTTTGTAAACTCCAGCTCCAAGTATCCATAACACGATTGTGGATTAGAATAACTATATGAGAAAAATAATTTGTGTCAAAGGTTTGTTGTCAGGACATATACTCAAAATCGGTAAAGCAACATATGAAAGAGCTTAAAGTCTTCACACAAAGAGGAAGCAATGTTGGCTGCATTCCTTCCCCTTTGTGGTTTATATCGCAAAACAAATTAATGTTTTCCTGCAGCCATTCCCAATAACATAGCAAAATCTTTAATGGCTGCAATAGAAGCATTAGTTTTTCAGACTGTTAGAAAGGGTACAAAACTGATGAATTTCAAGATGCCAGCTTTGAACACTTCACCATAAATCATGCTTATAATTTCGTTAACCATGACGCTGTATGTCAAATCCAGATAATACAGCAGTTGTGGAGATGTGCAAAATGGCACAGTGAAAACCAGTACACACCTGACTTTTGAACACAAAGCACCACATACCATTTAGCACCACATAGATCAAGCTGTGGTAATGTCACCATCCTAAAACAGAAATATTTTCAGCTATATTAAAAGATATTTACAATTTCTTGCCTGCTGTTTCAAGTGAACTTTCATTTCTTTAATTATTTTTTTAAATTTCATTATTCTGTTCGGTGCTTATATCGTCAACAGTGAAAATTGGCTACCATCAAAACATAAAAGTTGGCAGAGATTCTACCAAAGTTATGCAAATCGTTCCTGCACAATTCTCAGCCACATTTATCTCTACAATGCTTTCAATAAAATAGTCAGTTTTTCTGCAGAATCCACCAAACAGCCATTGTTGCAGAATTATTTGACCTGTTTCATTTTTCCGCTTCGCAAAAAAAGACATCAATTTCTACTATTTTGTGAAGCTCCATGATTTTGACAGTTCTGTTTATAATATGATACGTACAAACTTCCTGCAGAAGACTGCTCCAATCTATTACTGTTTAATCAGCCATATATAGCTGTTCTTTTACCCATTCAACAGATGTTTCTTTTCTCGATTAATTGTTAATGAACTGGAGTTCAATTACAAATTTCTACAGACTTCACACTCACTTTTTTCAATATGCAAGAAAAAAAACTTAGCAAAAGCAGTTTATTTCTTGTTCGTAAACACAAAAGGTGGCTTATCGAGAACCAGTTGGAGTTATATCAACTGTAGAATTTGTGATATGAAGCTTATCCATATTGGTGGTAAATAGCACTGCTTGGCAACAATTTCATGGTCGATGGGATAATATGCAAGTACCTTATCTTCATTTACTTTGAAATAATTGATATCGATTTTGATACATTAATTCAGAAGTAATAAAATAATTGTTTATAAAAGTCTTCTGGTTTTCCTTGAGCTCTACAGCCTGCTACAGGCCAAGGCTCCCCCTCCAAGTTTTCTTATTCTAACCCTACCCAGTCTACAGCTTCCCATCAGTTTACCCTTTATTAAATTCTTTTCCACTATCTAGCCATCTAGTGGGTGGGCTTCCTTTTCGTAATTTCTCCTGCATTTTTGAGAAGGTTATCTTTCTGGATGAAGGAAATGTGCATCATCATATCTATAAATATGGCCTAGCCATCTATTAGGAGATGCCTTTACAGTTTATGGAAGTCTTGCTCTTCTTAATGTTCCATTTCAGAAACATTTATGCTTTCAAATTGCTTTGCCTTGATTAACTTAACTGCGACATTTATAATTGGTGACAACTAGTACACGACAAATAAAGTAGTAAAAAACATTTAAGCTTGACAACCAACTGGCACTCTGCTAACAGAACAGTACTTAAATGTCTTCTTAATTGTTGCAATTATTAAAGCATACAAATTGTTTTTAAATGATTCGCTTAGGTTACAATAATGATCAATGCATATTTATTACATAGAAGATATATGAATGATCTTATGTCTTATAATTTGGCAATAATTTCCCGTTTTGTCATGATATTAACGTAAATTTAAAAAAGTCCAGGCAGTCTGTTCCTTTTTCGGAATATTTTCAGATTCCTATTTTATTCTATTCAACAGTATCTTAAGGGATATCTTACACAGAAATAATCACCAATTCCTTTCTCTAGTTATTATAATCATCCAAAGTTGGAGATGCAATGAATAACCGTATTTCCTTGCATTACTAAAAGAATTTTCTGAAAGGCCCAAATGCAGTCAAAAATGTTATGTTAGAAGGATTTTCTAGATTTCTGTTTTAAAGTACTTTTGCTATGACATGTTACCAGATAACCCTTCTTTTTTTAGGACATCTTAGTAGCACTAATAATTATATTTTGTGAAATCCCAGTATGGTTAATATTTAATTTGACATGCAAAAAAAAAATTACTGCTTAATCTTCCAAGTGGCACAGCATTTTGAATCTGTTGAGGTATTATTTAAACATTATTTATTAGTTAAATTTATACAGCTAATTATTTTAGTCTCTGTTTTCATAAAACTTTATTCCCCCCTCCAAGTGGAAGAACAAGTAATATTCTTAAAATGATAAAGTATTTTTAGTACACTAAATGCACTTAAGTTAATAAATGCACAAACTCTTAACAAAAACTGCTTGCACTGTATATTACTGAAAACTTTTAAGGGTGTGTTTACATTAGCAGGCAGGGAAAGTAAGGAAGAATAAAATCCACTAATGACTAATTCATGCGTTTTCCAAGTAGTAGAGAACTGAAATAGCTTTCAATTTAATGACTTATATTAGGTGTCTAAATCTTGATAGACCCCGTGGTTTTATGTTACTGTGATGTTATATGATCTCCAAAATAATAATAAAAAAAATCTAGTACGAGAGAAAACTACAAAAATAAAAGATAATTGTAATATAGTAACATTTAGTAAGTCATTCCACTGAAGTCTTATCCAAAGAGCTGCTAATTAGAACTGACAGATAAAAAATATCAAGAACTAAACATGACAAATAAATAAATGAATAAAAAAAGGCATATGAAGCTTCCTAATTGAAAACAGTTTAAAGATGATTTTAGATCATAATTAAAACTATATATTATATATGTTTGATAAAATGAATACTTAAGATACTTTAATTATTTAATACTTCATTTCCAGGTACTTTACAGCATTAAGAAATGGAGAAAAGCCCCCGGTCAAGGAAAGATTAGCTTTTGAGAAGCCACCAAATCCATACTTTACAGCTGTACCCGGTGCTAGTGCCGTAAGTCAACAAAGGAATCACATATTTAAACTAACCATTAATTTCTACTAATGTGTTATATTAAGGGGGAAAAAATGAAACAGAACAGATATCTATGTGTGATATTAAACAAATTTTGTACAAATTTAATAACATAATAATTTAACAAAAAAAATATAAAAGAAGTTTTCGTATTCTCAAGCCCAAAACCACTTTCCATTTTAATATTATATGTTAATGACTTGAAATAATAATTTCTTTGCAATGTTTCATAGGAAATATATTACCTTTTTATGTTCTCAAGTATAAAACCATTTTTTTAAATTTTATATATGAATGGCTGGAAGTAATAATTTTTTTGCTATATTTCACAGGAAATTTATTACAATTAACATCCTTCCAATGGCCTTACATTTACAAAGACTTATAATTATAGTATATTAATTAGAACTTTTTCTGCTTTACTATACTTCCTCAGCACAACTTAACTTAGCATTACTGTCAATTTTATATATGAATGACTGGGTAATAATTTCTTTGCTACATTTCAGCTACATGTCACAGGAAATTTGTTACCATTAACATCCTTCCAATGGCCCTATATTTACAAAGACTTCTTAATTATAGTAGATTAATTAGAACTTTTTCTGCTTTACTATACTTCCTCAGCACAACTTAGCATTGCTGTCATCATTAACTTTTTTCAGATGAATTCTCAGAAAGCAGAGAGAGCAAAATTTTTCATAAGTAGGTAGAATCTGATATATTAATCTAATAAAATGTGGACAAAAACTTTACAACTAGAAATAAGTAATGGTTGAAATAGAAATTTATTAAAAGCATTATGTAATCAGAAAATTTGAATAAAATAAAAGCATAGAACTAAACCCAACAATTAATAAAAAACAAATTTAAACAATAAACAACACATACATTTGTTTTCTAGTTCTATTTATACATGACACAGGTGCTCTTTTATTACTAAAATTATGTTGGACTATTTCCTAAAAATTTGACAGACAGGAAATCATATTTTTATGAAGCCTGCTGAAATAGATTTTTGTTGAAGATTTATGTGTAAATATAAAATGTGTGTATTAAAATACAAAACATATACTATTTATACTTTTTTTACACACACTTTATACATGTATATATAAATATGTTTTTGGCTGAGCACATGTATGTAAATATAAATCTTTTCAAAAACCGATTAAAAAATGACAAGTTTAAATAAAATACTAACTGTATACATTTGATTTCTAGTTCTATTAGCATGAGATATAGGTCTTTTATTTATAAAACACTATGTAAGAAATTAAAATTAGCTAAAAAAATCTGGTGCATACATTACATGACTTCCTTGTATGTAATATTAAATTATATGCATTCTGTGCTGCATTTGTTCATTTAAACTTATTTCCTTGAATTTGATTAGAGCTATACTTCTCAATTAATTAATTCAGTTCTCACTTCGCAGCAAGGCAGAAATACATAAAAACTCAAAATACCTTCATTAAAAATTGAAAGATATAGGAAAACACAAGACACCAAATACAGTGAAAACAATTTTTTAAAAATTTTACAATTAGAGTTTCTACGCAAAAACAAGCAATTCAGCCAGCAGACAAGAATGCAGATTTTTCAGTGCAAAAATGAAAAGTTTCCTTTTGGTCCCATTCGGCAAAAAGACACTAAAGGTGCAGAAAGACTGAATTCACTAATCTGCTAAGTTTCAAATGTAAACAAGTATGGCTGCTATTGTTAACAAAAATTAGACTTAGTGGCACTTAAACAACTATTACATGCAGATTAACTAAATGCATAAAAACCTTAACCGGAGGATAAGAAAAACATAATTCAATCATTTTTAAAGCAAAAAATGTGAACTGATTAAAAATACTGAGCTCACTGAGCCAAGTAACAAAGTGTGTATATATATATATATATATTTACATACTTTTGGCAAAGCCAATTGCAAACTAAAAGAGAGATGCACAACAACATGTCATAGCAGTCCTATATATGAGAGACACGTACATACAGAAGTCTCGAAAAAATCTCTTTGGAACCCACTTTAAATCAATTTCATAATCCATTTAAGGAAAAAGAGTCCATCATTCTGTCCTTATGTATAGATGTTACATCGTTAAATTGCATTTGATAGCGATCAAAATAGATATTTTTGTTGTAATACGATACCCGGAATTTTTTGCGATTTAAAATACTTCCTGCGCTCCATACAAGGAAGTAAAAAAAGGAAAATACAAAAATTTGTTATTTAGCATAAGACAGACAAACATATTATATTTGCAGCTACTAGCAAAGAGAAAGCCAGAAACGTTAGAGTGATAGTAATAACTACTCTTTGAAATGCCAATTTCAAGGCTGCCCAAAGAATATCTTTTGATAGACCATGATTAAGCTGGCAGATCAAAAGCATACTCCAGAAGCAAGCTCAAGTAAATAATGCATTTTCTGTTATAAGTGTATTGCTACAATTTTCCCCTTTTCTAATGTGTTAGCATAATATGCATTGCATGTTTACATAACATGAAAATTAATGCGAGATGCCATACCTCGAAGCTTCGCTAATTCAAATAACATGTACGAGAAGAAAAGCATTGAAAATTATGACTACAACCACAGTTAATATCATTCAAAAGTCTACCTTTTACTTGATTCACATCTTAAAATTATGACATATGATCAATCATTCAAGGAAAATAACTTATGTATTACACAAGGTGATAAAAAATACTGGAAACCATATAAAGCAATACACTTGGAACAGAAGCATGCACAGCAAAGCCATTAGGGACAGACTGACTTTAAATCATGTTGATTTTATATCTTAAGTTTTAGAATCCAACAGAAATGGTAAAATTGTTTGAATTTAGGAGAGACACTGGTATGCAGAGTTTAAGGCCTACAGAAAATGCACTGGGCAGCAAAATGAATAGCATTTGCCCTGTTAGTATCATAATGCCCTGGTCCAGTGGACTTGTTTACAAGAGTATTTTGAATAAATATATGCAATGTCTTGTCATATTAGAAAGTTAAGCTTGGAAATTGTATAAAAATTGCAGAAAGTTTGTTAATCTATTGTAGAGACATGAAAATTTGCTGAAAGTATATGGAAAAGAATGCACGAGTTATACATGAGTTTATGAGTAGATCAAACATTTCCAAGATGGCCAGAAAGTGTTGTATGTCCCAGCAGGCGGCCGAAAATAATACATAGTAACACACTAATAACACTATACATAAAATTCCCAAAAACTTTATAAAACCTAATTCATTTATGCCAATAATTAATTCATCATTTACATAAAGTCCACATACAAGTAATAAAAAGGGTACTTATGTACTATGACGACTACCTAGATATCTCACCAAAACTGGCGACCCTTGTATGTTATACAGATTAACCCTAACATAGGTTATAGAGGGAGCTAAAATAAAGAGTATTATCCTGCACTTGCTATTACCAAACCTTTTTTTCGCTACATTTATGCATATTATTACGTTTAGGTTAAACATGTGAAACTTTTGTGATTATTTTTTTCCTAATGGATATCAACATTTTCCGACTTCCTTCAAATGAAGAAGAAACGATAAAATTTTTCAGAGAGGCTGAAATTTTACCCAAAGAACGTGTTTGTAAAAACGGCCATGATATGAAGTTTTATAATTCATGATTTTATTGGAGATGCAATGTCAAAAATTGTCAACAAAAGTTTGATGTCCGAACTGGAACAAGCTATTTCCCGCCACTTTCCTCACCATTAAAATCAATATTTTCTTTTAACCAGTTTAAAGTTAATTTTATTTTTTTTAATTCATATTTAGTACTATATAGTTTATATATTTATTTACATTTATTTATAATATGCGTGTATATATATATATATATACCGTATTTGATGGCATATATATATATATACCGTATTTGACAGTGTATATATATATATATATACCGTATTTGACGGCATATAAGATGCACCCTTATTTAGAAGGCCATACACATGTAGATGTAGAAAAAGTTATGCACCTCTAGATCTTTATCCGGGCTAAAAATGGCATTCAGTATTGAATGTTAACCTGTGTCCTTCATGTATAAGATGCAGGTAACTTTTTTGAGACCAACTTTAGGGAAAAAAGTGCATCTTATATGCCGTATGGTATTTACGATTTTTGCTCCTTTATAATCACAGCTTTTATTTTAAAAGGAATTTATAAACATAAAACAAAAAACGCCAATGTAGACTTTTATCGTCAAATGTTGCCAAGGCAGTCATCATAGTACGCAAGTACCATAAAAAGGCTGTCTCGAAAACTTGTGGTCTAAACTCTTTTTAATTAAAAACTGCAACAGATTAATATGGAAAAATTTTTAAACTAATTTGTGTTTTAAAAACAAAGTAAAAGAATGAATCAAAAAGTATTAAAAATGAAACAGAAAAAGAACTCACAATTATCATAGCTAGCCATGCTTTTCAAAATGGCTGAAATTACTTTAACAGTTATGCACATGTAAAGTCAAGTTGTCAAATTCTATGCCTGAAACTCGTCTTGGTCAGGTTGCCATATCGAAAAGCTTGAAATAATCATTGAAAAAAGAAGGGGGTCACAAAACAAGACAAAAAAAAAAAAAAAAAAAAAAAAAAAGGGTGTGCTTTCAAAGTCCTGCAATATGGCAGGCTTTTCGCGAAATAATTTTGGTTAGAAATGTTAAACAGAGGTGGGGTACACTTCCAGGATGTTTTTACTAGGTTATCAAAAGGACAAAATGGCATCAGAACTTACAAGGTCGTTTTAAGAAATAAAATGGTAATGATCTTAAATGTAACAATTTTGATTAAAAGTAATTCTAGCTCAAAGCAGGTGAAAAAGAAATAATAGTAAAGGAAGATAATGGATCTTCATGTAATTGGATTGTAGTAAGTCTTTGAAAGGAAATCAGTCCTTTTGTTAGTAAAAGGAAAATTGCTAGCTCAGTTATCATTAAATTGAAAACTGAAAAAGTATATTCATATTTTACAAAAGCTACATGAAGATGTTATAATATATAAAATTAATTACATATGATCATTAAAGTCTCTGTTATAGCCATCCTACTCTACCTGCCTCTCGGATGAGAGCAAAATAATCATATCACTATAAACAGGTAATTTAAAAATTGTAGTTAATGTCTTTTTTTAATGTTTGGCAAATTTTGAATTTGCGAATTCTATTTTATAGTAGCAGATTAATTAACAGTCATAATTTCTTCTTGAAAATAATCAACCTCATTGCAAAAATTTTTTATCCAATAAGGTGAATAGTATTAAGCATTACTTTGTTGGAGCTGTTGAAATGCCAATTAATGAGTTTTATGGTATTTAAATTTAATTCTCTTCTTTTATCATAGTTTTTTGTATCCTAGTATTTGTAAATCTGAGTATACCGTTTATCATTAATTAAGCAAAAATTTTTAAAAAATGATTGCTCAAAAAGTTACATGTAGAATTTAATAACTGATTCGCAGTATACAGCACATAATAAGGCATAAAATAACATGAAAAGCAATTACCATACAGTTATGGTGTTACAGAAATTAGCATTTGTATAAAATGAACAAATCAGATGTGTTAATTTGCTATAGGAAAATTACCTTCAATATGGAGAATGGATCCCCCTTAAAAGCAATAAAGCAAAAGCCTTAAAAGTAAATTGTATGCAATATACAACACATACAATGATATGATGCAGTCTATCAGTTTCCAATACAATTACGCAGTCTATCAGTTTCCAATATGCAGTCTATCAGTTTCATGGGAGGTGAGAACCACTGCTCTTGCAAAGCACTTGCAAGCATGGCAAGGGTCCGAAGAGGACTGAAAGCAGCTATACATCTTTTTAAAGCATTCCAAATATACTCGAGAGGATTCAGGTCTGGTGATCGAGCTGGCCGTTCCACGTGCTGAATTGTTTGCTGCTGAAGATAATCATCCATGGTGTGAGCTCTGTGTGGTTTACTGTTGGCATCCTGTAGCAGGAAATTCTATTCTTTCATGTGCATAACAACAAATATCGGTCATCAGTGCTTGTCATAGCAGTTGGCTGTCCTTGGTTCAACCTCCTGGATGCCAAATCTGTGGTTAGAAATTGTTGCCAAAATCTATGAACCACAGTAGGACTCAGATTTAGCCATCTGGCTACTTCTGTCTTTGTCCTGGCTCTACTCTCCCAATATCTCTCCATAGTTCTTTGGGCAAATGATGCCTGGAGGTCATTGTTACACATTGGATATCCCAGACTTCTTATCTCAGTATTACAGCGAAATTTGGAGGCTTGCTCTGAAACATGCAGTTTTATGCTTCTTGCAAATCGTATTTTGACTGCAGTGCCACGAATTTGCATACTGCAGATTTACTCAGTAATTCTTATTTTTCAACATATTCAAATTTTATATGGATTGGCTTATTTCTGAAGAAGTTATCACCATTTATGTGATTTTTCCTTAGTTTTTGGAAACCAGTGTAATTTATATCATCTTGTTAAAGGTTTGTTTTTGTTGAGGCAAGTTGGATAGTTATTAGTTTCTTTGATTTTCTCATAATTATGAATTGCTAAGATGTCATCTATGTATCTGTAAACATTTCAAAAATAGATATGTTGATCATTATTAAGCATTTTTTTTTTTTTTTAAACAGAAATTCTTTGGTAAAGATGCATAAGTTACAGTGCTGAAGAAAAGTTTGAGCCCACTGGGATACTGTTAACTCGTTTGTAAATAGTGTCATTAAATTTTCTGCAATTGCGAAACAATACACTTTTAAGGTAAACAGACCAATTTTGTGTAACTTTCATAAGAATAATAAAAAAAAAAAAAAAAAAAAGTTAATATTGTTAAGAAATTATAAAATATTTCTTGCAATGGTATGTATGCAGATTTTCGAAGTCATAGCAGTTAATATTTTTAATTTCAAGATCTTGCAAGGCTGTCAATATTAGAACGTGGTTATTTATAATCCAGTTGTAACTGTGTTCTTGATTAACAGAATCATTATATGGGGAATTCATCTAAGTTTTTTCGCAAAATTATATTCTATTTCTTTTAAGTAATTCCTAGTATGATTGACGATGAATCTGAATTTTACTGGGGATCTTGTGAAATTTAGGTAGTGTATAAAGGTTAGAAAACCTACGGTTGTCTGTTGAAACAGTAATTTTAAGTCTTCAGTGTAATGCTTTGATTTGGATTTTGAGGACAGTTGAATTTGTATTGGTTCTTTTATAGGTAACAGAACTTTGACGTTCTTTTTGAATAATGTTATCATAAAATGCTTTCCAAATAATGCTGAAGTTATTGTTTGCCTCGTCTATTTTGGTGACCATGAATTTTTTTATGCAGTAGGTTATTTTCCAGTTCCTTTCTGTTATGGAAGTACTGAAAATTGTTGGCAATAGATAGGTGAATAGACAGGCAGATTATATATATATATGTAATATTTTAAATGCATAGGAGAGATCAGATACCTCAACAGCTTGCAGTCTTAGGTGGCTGAGTGGAAAGACGAAAAGATGACGCTAACACCAAAAAATTTTGAAGAAGTCTCCATCTTTATTTTTATGCATATAAAACCATCTTAGTAGACATTTATCCAATCATAATGAAATACCATAGTTTTATATACTAAGATGATGATGATGATGATGTCATAGATGACGGATACGATGTCATTTTAATCACGTGGGCATAGCAGGAGGGATATGTTAACAGTGGCGAAGCTAGGAAGAGAATGACGTAGTTATTGTGTCAAGACTATTTATACCAAGTTTGATGTACAAGTATATCTAATCTGTGACTGGTTAATTTTAGCTTGTTATGTAACATGAAAGGATCGCAAATTTGAGAAAACAGATGATTTTAGGGATAGAGCATAAAATCTAGAATAGTTAATTTTAAGGTCAGCAGTTATTCTAAAAGCAGCCATTGTATTTTGTTATATCTTACATATATACACAGGTTTTTTTTTTATTTAAATTAAAGCTACTGCTGAAGTTTTATCAATTGCAGGAAGTTAATCAAACCATTTTTGAAAAAGTAGAGCAAAATTGAAGCAAAAATAGCAGAAACTTCGGCAAAAACTAATTATAATAATTCTTCAACACAGAAAATTTCTGTTAACAAAATGTAAAGTAGTAATACACTATTTTAAAATATTTAATAACACTAATTATATTCAAATTATATGTTACATAGCAGTAATTTATAAAATTCACCAATTTATTAAATTTAAATCATGAAATAAATACACTATTTTACTCAAATATCAAAATCAAGCTTCTCATTTTTCTGTAAGATTTCAACATATACTTTGGGAAGATAACTCACCAACAACACTCAAGCCTTCATTGTTATAATTCAAGAATTCTGAATGAGCTTGTTGAAGTACCTGTTTAAAAAATAAATAAATAAATAAATAAAATGCTTTGATATGAGGTTAAAGCATACTGCAGTTTATTAAGGAGGTGCATTCATAAAAAACTTCTGAACGGAAAGTAGCTTCTATATGTGTTAAAATGAAAAAAACTTCAAAATTACAAACAGCCCACCCCTTTTACCAGGAACTGCATCCCAAGCGAAAATTTGTAATAATTTAATGTTTCTTGAATGCTGCGTATTAAGCAATTAGAATAATGGACAAAAATGAAAATTAAGATGTAGAATAAACCATTTTTAAGATGACTACCCACATTTCTAAATAACTTCAGATTGCAGAAGTGGGTAGTTCTAAAAAAAAATGGCGATTATCAATTAACAAACAAATTTTTGGAAATGAAATTTTTTAATGGTGCCTCTTTGAGGGGGGATCCTAAAGATACCTTGCATAGTAAAATTTATTTCATAATTTTAAAAACATTCACTATTCATGCAATGAAATTTGCCTTCTTGATTTCCTATTTGGGCTAACTGCTTCTTTTTAAAACAGTCTGAAATTCATAAATAAATCAAGTAGTTTATTATTTCTTAAATTACTGTTTTAACTTCTCGTTAAGATCAGACATACTGTCATTTTTTAAATGCTGTGGTATTAATGAATTGTTGAAACTTTCTGATTATTCACCCAACCTTCCTGAAGGCATCAACCATTGACAATCAATTTTTCAATAACCTATGACAAGAAAGACAATAGCCATTTTAAAAATAGTTACATATAACAAAAACCAATTAATAAAATTAAAAATACAAGAAACATCCATAAAACACCTTTTTTGGGTTCTTCTTTCCATGCACATGACAATCTACAGCTTAGAAAAGCATCAGAGAATTGCAGAAACTTCTGTGCACAACTTCGCATTGCACACACTGTTGTTTCAGTATGTACAGAATAATGTTTTCATTTTTTAAAAAAAAATCAAGGAATAGCACCTTAAACAACATCAGAGAATTACACAAATTAAGGCATGAGCATAAAAATTTTCTTCTTTATGAAGTACAACTTTTTGGAATGTCAAATTTTTCATTCTCCACATTTCTGAAGAAACACAATGTATTCTTTTTCATAATTTCACAAACTCCACAGTCTCATTACAACTCCTTACAAGAAAATGCACAAACTCATCAAATACAAGTCAGCACAAGCACTAACCAGAAAAATGACCATCAATTTGAAAAGCCAAAATCTGCACTTGTTTGTTGTGCACATGAATGTACTTGGTTTGCCACATAAATACCTTTTTACAACTTTATGTGTTGCCTATTTGATTTGGTAAATTCTTTTTAGTGGTGGGTGGATATCTTTTAAGGGGTGGGTGGATAATCAGAAAGTACCAAATTTTTAACTATTTATAACTTTTTTCGGTACTTTTCCGTTTTGCCGGCGCAAGCGATAAAGTCGCTAATAATGGTGCAACCGATGCCAAACGGAATATTCTCGCTGGTAACCTTTTACGCCTCATTTTCAAAACAATTCGCAGCTTTTTCTTATCAGATTGATTGTTTTTCTTTCAATACTGACATATAATTACATAGAATTTTTATCAGATAGTTCAATTTTAGGTCCAAGCCATTTTTCGTAATTAAGTCATTAGGATGCAATCACAGCGCTTAGCCGAGCCGAAATATAAAAGGTAAAGTCGAGAGTTCAATTCATCAATTTTAATGAGAATGCATTAGCGAGTAAGTACTGCATTTTGCATATTTCTGAGTAGCTATCGTACGAATTGAAATATTTCTGCATTTAAACTTGTTTCCAAATAAGATTTAACTTGAAATTACGTAGATAATTACTGAGAGCATTAGATTTTTGTAGAGAGTAGTTTACGTGAATGAGATCGCTTGGGGTCACGTGATACGAACCGGCGAATCAGGATGCTGAACCTGAAAGCGTAGTAAATTCTTAAATTAATGTCTTTTTACAAATTTATTGTCTTTATTTATCGGTTTTTTATAAAATTTTAAGCGATATTAAAATGTTTATGTCTTTAAAAAAAGAATTCTTAAAACTAACATTTTTTAAAATATTTTTTATGTGTATACTGTATGTTGTCGCCAATAAAGTCTGCTTGGCGAGATTTGCGCCGGCGAAATGGAAAAGTACCCTTTTTTCTAGCTAAAATATTAATGTGCAAAATTACTGCTACCTTTTGTTCAACTATTTTACCGTCATATGCATTTGAATCTTTAAATGTAAATGATTTATTAGAAATACAATAGTCATCATTTATTAAACTTGCATATTAATAAACTCAGCTGCTTATTACAATCAAATTGCCAAACACCAAAAGAAACACATATTAACCAATAGAAAAACCACCATTTATGAACTCATCTCTGCCACTTATACAACTCAGATTGGTAAAAAGACTGATTTATCAGAGTCAGAATAGCCTACTTATACCAATCAAAACTTTTCGTATTTCATCGATTTAACATATTGTGGACTGTGGCTTTATCATTCGCATAAAACCACAGTCCACAATATGTTATATAGAATACAGTCAAAAGTCGTTAATCCGGACTCGTCGGGACTTCAGCGATTCCGGATTATCGATTTTTCCGGATTATAGATCATCAGTTTAAATCTGGTAAGATGGCATGCAGAAATTATAAAATTAAAAGGTACTTTTCCGTTTCGCCGGCGCAAATCTCGCCAAGACGACTTTGTTGGCGATAACATACAGTATACACATAAAAAATGTTAACAAATGTTAATTCTAAACATTTTTTATTTTGAAGGCATAAACATTTTAATATGGTTTAAAATTTTGTGAAAGCTAATAAATAAAGACATAAATTTGTAAAAAGACATAATTTAAGAATTTACTATGCTTCATGGTTCAATTCCTGATTCGTAGTTCGTATCACATGACCCCAAGTGATCTCATCTCACGTAAACTATGCTATAAAATCTAATTCTCTCTTGGTAATTATGTACAGTAATTCAAGTTAAATCTTAATTTGGAATACAATTTTAAATGCAAGAGTTTATTTCAGTACTTACGAATAGCTTACTGAGAAATTATGTAAAACCGCGTGCTTTACTTCGCTAGTGCATTCTCATTATAATGATGAATCTTAACCCTTGACTTTTGCCTTTACTATATTTTCGTTGCCTTCAGCTGAACGGTGTGATTGCTTCCTAATTGACTTAATTACTACAAATGGTCTTAGGGCATACAAATTCAACTTGTCTTGGTAAAAATTCTATGTAATTTTATGCCAGTTTTGGAAAAAACAATCAATCTGATAAGAAATGACTGCAACTTGTTTTGAAAATGAGGCGTAAAAAATTACCAGCGAGTATATTCTGTTTGCTATCAGTTGTACCATTATTAAGAGACTTTATCGCCTGCGCCAGCAAAACGGAAAGTACCATTAAAAATATGAAACCGTAATTTATGATAAAAAACAATTATGATCTAAAAGGTATCAAAATTTACAAAAAAAAGCTTAATATTTGTTTGTTTACTTTATTAAACATTTCTTTCAATGTAAGTTGTTTAAGTTGCTTCATTTTTTATGTGATAATACATTCTCTTTAATTCTATAAACAGACATAATTTCTTGTTCAGTTACAAAGTTCCGCTGTTCAAGTCCTATAATTGGTGTGTCAACCGACTAATTTGTCAATCGACATTTTTTCGTTTTCAATAACCTCTGTCACTTTCTTCGCTATCGGAAGCGAATTATAATGCAAGGAATTTGATTTAAATCATATCAAAGACGGAGTACATCGAGAAGAAATACTACATTTAGTAAGGAATTATAAGCCAAATAAAATAAAAACATCTGCCCTGAAGATAAGGATAGTGCTGAAAGATCAACTTCCAATTCATTACGCCCCGCGGCGTTAAAGATAAACAAACGTTAAAGTTTAGATAAACAAAGGATATGCCTTTATCCATTTTTTGCAGCAATTCCACTTTTTGTTTAATGGATTTTGAAACATGCTTTCGCTTTGTATATCCTTTACATATTAGTAAATATATATCAGAAATTCTATTTGACATAATCGAAAGTTCAAGCTTACTTTCATAAAATTCCTCTAACAGTCTGCAAAAAATAATAAGCTGAATCCAAGTCGAAGATTAAAGAACAACGCAATCTGCAACAATAACTGAAATAGATAATTAGGTAATTTTAGCTTAGCTTATACCGTCCGTTATACATTAAACGCGCACGCAAAAACGTATTCTGTGCTTGCGCACACCCATATGTGCAGTCGTAAAGGTCTTACGCGCACGCATTCGTAAACGTATTTTGAGCACGCGCACACGCATATTCGCAGCTGTAAAGGTCTTGCACGCATGCATCACGGCGACACATACGCAGAAAGTTTATAGCTTTAAGGTCCGGATTATAGATCATTCCGGATTATGGGTGTCCGAATTAACGACTTTTTGATTGTATAAGCTTCAATAAAACAGGTGGGACCAAAATTTTCCTGGGTCTCTATATCTGCGAGATACAGCTTTCAGAATTCTTTGTCCACACAAGTCTTTAGAATGGCAGAATTTCCTTATCTTAAGGTAAACAAAAACAGTTCACTAAAGGCATAGTAAATGAGTGAGAGTTCCTTCTCAAATACCAACTAATAGGAGGTGAAAGTGCAACTTCCATATCCCATCTTTTAATTAAGGTTTTCACCTTCAAAATTTTCTGCTTGAAATAAGTAAATGATGTTCAAAGATAGTTATAACAAAAATTCATGAAATGCTTCTAAGCACTACCATACATTAAGTCTTTGAATGGAAAGGAAGTAGGACTGAAGAAAAACAATAAAAGCATTGGTCATGCTTGAAATCATACAGTGCCAGATCAATTAAACAGAAGGGCAATTTTTCTGCTAACTAGAAATGTAAATTTTGAAATTTCAATAAATCACACAAAAAGACATTTTCAAAATTTATTGTATGCTTAACTTCTAACTTATCAAAAAGAAACTTGAAACGAAGTTCAAAACTTGAAATGAAGCGAAAAGACTTAAGCTTGAACGAAAAGGATAAACTGTTAAAATATTTTAATGTTCTTGGTAATTGCATCCATCAATACATTTAAACTCAGAAATTCCCACACAGCTTTGTGCAATTTATTTAAATAAAGGATCATTATTAATAAAAAATTAATAAAACATGCAAATGTCTCACATAAGTGCAAAAGAGACAGAAAATTGAGAGATGTTGAAATTGTTTTTCTAAAACGGTTTCAACCAGAAATATTTTTTCTATTTCTAGAGCTTTTTCATTAATTTGCTAAATACTAGGAGAAAATTTTATATCAGCTGACATATGGCTCTAAGTTGGAGACAGAAATCCAGCATTATTCATCAGAAAATTGCTTTGTGAGAAGGAAGATACAATATGGACCCAACAATTAAGAAGCCAGCACTGGTTACTGACAACTCGATGTTTGGAAGGAGTCAAGAATGTTCTTCTATCATTACAAGAATTATTCATGAATGACAAATAGTACTTTTACTGGTTCCACAGTAAAGACCAGTTCTAAAAAAAATTGGTTTCTTTGTAGGACTCTTCTGAACTTTCATACTGCAGGTCCTACTTAATTGTTGGTCCTGTACATAACCCTTTAACATGTATAAATTTTATTAAAATTTACCATGCAGTTACTTTAGAAATTATAAAAAAAAATCTAATTTCCATATAACAGGAAAAAACAAAATACCACATGAAGTACACAAATTCAATAGTAGCAAGATTTTTATCAAATAACTATGCATACACATAATTTTTTGGAGAGAGGTTGGGGTAAGATTTTGGAATAAGACAATTACCTGAACTGAAAATACCAATTAAGAAAATGGGCTGTTTCATACTGGAAATTTAACAATATGCTTTATTCAAAGTAAATGTAATTTCTCAGTGGTATTAATATTTATAAAACTGATAATCAATAACACATAAACAATATCTACAGCAGTGGCTCTTAACCTTTTTTGCCCCAAGCATTCCTTTCACAATTGCTAGAAGGTTATCCACCTTCCTTTCCAAAACTTTAAAAAAATAAATAAATAAATAAAATAAAATAAAATAAAATAACACATACATATATTTATTTTAAGTTTAGATTATTTAAAAAAAATTTTTATAAATTAAACAATTAAAAAGCTTAGAAAATGTACCAAAGTACATACCAAAACTTGAATAAAAGTATTTTTTTTTTATAAACTAAAACTAAATACCTAGCTAAATAAAAGGCTGACCACATTTCTCCCACACACACACCTGAAACTATACAATTCTCTCCCAGGGAAGAATTTCATCCTGACTGAAAATCCTTGTCTTAGATCATCTAAAGCATTTGACAAATTCTTAATAAATCAAGTCAATATAACAATTTAAACATTATGTTATCTTTACATCTGCCCTTCCAAACACCTTTTAACCCACTTCTATTAAAAGATGATTGTAAGAAATATCTTACTATATAAAAATTAAGATAGATATTTACAGTTGACTTGAGAGGTGGTTAACAAAAATTATGTCACTTTCCTGTGGAAATGTTCTTAAAGATCACATACAGACTAATAAACTATGAGAGATAAAATAGAATTATTTGCTTATTTAAATATAACATTTTGATGAAAATTAAATCTTTTTTTTTCCTCTAATGGCAGATTGTGAACGGTTACAATTTTGTAACAGAGTCCATTAATCTATACTAAAACCAGATGTGGTGGTCTCTTTATTATGAAGGCACCTCTAATAGGTGGGCCACCATTTGCCTTCTATAAAGGGACGGACAGTTAACACCATGCCTTCTCCAGGATTCGAACTCAGACCCTTCGGTACTGCAATCAGGCTCCCCTAACCACTATATCATCTGGGTGGCAAAATTAAATATCAGTATGCTCAGTTTTCTTTGAAAAAGAGAAATCTGAATTTTATTCAAAAATATTTAAACTTGTAAATAAAGCTTTTATATGATAGGTATCTTCATTTACTATGTATTAAAATTGTGTTTCTGAAAGAATATTCAATTCTGGCAAGTTGAACACCCCCAATAATTCTTCTAGACCCTCTTCATGACAATTTTTACTATTTAAGTCAACCCTGTTAATGCAGAGTCAAAACATATTTAATACAGTTAATGAAGTACTAAACAGAAGTACAAATATGAAATATTCATTTTTAGGATCAGTTCAATAATTTATCACATTCAGGGTTAATTTAGAGATGAAAGCATTTTATATAAACTGTTATTACTATTACTGTTATTAAAACTGTTATTACTGTTATTAAAACTATTTATTTTACCCATGATTATTTCCTGAAACAATTTTAATATTAATTTCTTCACTTCAATTAAATCTTAAACAAACCTTAGCATCGGAAAAACATGAACATTTTCAAAATAAAATCTGATTTTAAGTTATTTACATTTTTCTACTTGTGCAAACTGTAAAACTAAGACGAAATTGATTATATACATGTAATCTGTAAATGTGAAGCAAATTATGTCTAAAAATACATGTACATTTTTAATGAGACAACAATAGTTATAAAGAGTTGGTGTTCAGGAAAGTATTTTACTGTTACCCTTTCTTCACTACTGAATGGCAGTATTAAGTTTAATAAAAAAAATTAATAATTATAAATAAAAAAAAAGATTTAGACCTTTCCTGAGAAAAATTTTAAAAATATTTAAGCCTGATGACTTCTAGCAACATATCCTGCATCAGACAATTGTTTCTTTAAAATAAATGCAGATTTAAAACTGGTTATTAAATTATGCTTACTTCTTCGGGTACTTTTGCAGGTCCGGGCGCGAAATTAAGGACTTTCTTGGTACTCATTTTCCTTGGGAGTGGTTTGTATTTGTAATGTGATGCACTGCAGTAACTTCGCAACAACTTACCGTTGCGGCGACCAGTGATTAAAGAGAATTTTACTCAGCTGCTAAACGTGTTTACTGCATTTCAGATTATCCTGACTCCCCTCTTGGATACTATGGTCCAGTCTAAAGCGGAATTCACAGCGCAAGCGCCAGCAAGATTAATCCAATTCAATAAATCAGCGCTATAATGCGTTGATCGGTTTTTTAAACTTGTCGGGAAAAGTCTGCTATCGGAGGAGTTGGGGTTTTTTTCTTAAAATTATTTGTAAATCTCAATCATACTTAATTTTACGATTGCCTTATTTTATATTCCAGAAATTCAAAGCTCAAATAACTGTTAATTATATAAAAATTCCTAAATTGCTAATTATCTATTTTTTTTTTTATTCCCTATTTTTTTTTTAAGGACGGATAACATCTACTACTTTTTTTTTAAATTAATCATCACTCACGGTTTTGATAGTTAATTTCTTCACGTGGCTGCTTTATTATAAAAAAATTGTGTATTTAATGTAAGAGAATTAGATAAGATTCCAATAGGTTGAAGATATTTTCGATTTGTTAATTAGTTAATGAATAACTATGTTATTTAAGTATTTACTTTCGACGAACAGGAAAGAGCTTATTCATTTACAAAGAAAAAGAATAAGGAATTGTTTGTCACGGCTGCCGTCCAAGCCGAAACGGACACACACAGAACTTACGGGAAACAAAAGGCCCAAAGAACTTTGGCCTAGCCTAAAGTGACCACACGTCCCGATTTTGGCGGAACAGTCCCGCTTTCTGGAAAACTGTATCCAGTGGCGTAGCTAGAGTGGGGCAAGGGGGGACATCTGTCCCCGGGCGCAGCATCCAAAGGGCGCTAAACTAATGCTACGAAATTTTTTAATGAAATGTTTTCCATTCTTGGCACACAGAAAGGGGCGCAAATTCTTCAGTTGTCCCCGGGCGCGGGAAAATCTAGCTACGCCCCTGACTGTATCGCGTCCCGCCGATTTTTAAAAATGTCCTGCTTTTTAGAAAACATCTGCATTTCTTATTTTAAATGTACTGTAAAAATACATTACCTATTATTTATTAATTATTTAGTGAATATAAAGAAATAAAAAAAACACATAAAATGCAGGCAGAGTAAACTAAATTAGGTGATGTAACGAGTTAGATTTACTCGGTGGTGTTCGATCATTGTCGTTACGTCTCGTCAAGGAATATACATTGTTAACGGAGGAACAGCTAGCATTAGCTGAAGAGCTATTTGCTTTCCACACCAAAGACCAAAATCAAAGTTTCAGATAAATTGATTGTACATCGAAAATGATCAAAACATTGTACGACAAAAAAATTTGCACGTGCAAGGACAAAAACCGAAACAATCATTTGTAATGTTTTTTACCATATTCGTTTTCATTTACCATATTCGAATTAGATAAATGCACATTTATGTCCCTATATTATGATGCTTTCAACCACAAAGATTTAAAATTATTTTACACAATTGTTAGACTTTTTGATCCATAGACAGAAATTAAAATTAGAATGTTAGATTTTGTTTCATTGCCGGGTTAAACTTTATTTTTATTTATTTATTTTTTATTTTTTTTTTTTTTTTTCTCGATGGCAGACTGTTAACAGTTACAGTTTTGTAACAGCGTCCATTAATCTATACTAAGGCCAGAACGTGGTGGTCTCTTTATTATGGAGGCTCCTAACAGGTGGGCCACCATTGCATCCTACGAAGGGACGGACAGTTACTACCATGCCTTCTCCGGGATTCGAACCCAGGCTCTTCGGTATCGCAGTCAGGCTCCCCTAACCACTATACCGTCTGGGCGGCTGCCGAGTGAAACTTCAGAAATAATTTTTGATTGAATAAGTACTATTTTAAAAAATCATAATTTGAACAATAAAATTATTGCCTATGTTGAGGTAATAATTTTATTGTTGATACTAAAGCAAATTTTGGAGGAAAAGCTAGAAGAGGCATCAATAACGTTTTTACGAAACTTAACGAACGTGTGAACCAAAATATTATTCGAGTAGGTTGTGCAGCTCACATTCTACATAATACTATTCAAACAGCATCTGACTTACTTCCGGGGGATGTTGAAAATATTATTTCAAAAATGTATTCGTATTTTTATATATTTACTGTGCGTATCGAAAGTTTGAAGGATTTTTGTGAAAGCACAGAAATCAAATATAAAAGAATTATTTGTTACAGCAAAACAGGATGGCTAGCTCTTTTACCAGCTGTAGAAAATATTTTTAAAATATAGGAACCATTAAAATCATACTTTTTATCACAAGATAAAAGTCCAAGAATATTGCAGCTGTTTTTTGAAAATGACACATCACAAATTTGTCTTCAGTTCATCCACAGCCAAGCTACATTATTTCACGGTGCTGTGAAAATTATTGAAGGGGACAAAATTTCAATTACGGAAGTGTCAAATGAAATCAATAATTTAAAAACAAAACTACGAGAAAGAATTGATAATGATTACGTTCCTTTAGTTATTCGAAAGTGTATCACTAGGTTAACGAATAAGGTGCCGTATTAAACGACCTGATTTTCTGAAAGAAGTCAGAAATTTTTATAACAGCTTGGAATATCTTGAAGAACGGACAGTTCAATTCATTGGGGGACATTAAAAAAGATTTTATGGAATATATGGGAAAATCTTTTTAATATATTAGTAACGATTTTCCGAAAAATAATATTTGCGAAAATGATCTTTTTGGTGAGGTGTCATTGATAAAAAGATACATTACTGATGAAAAAAATTAAATTTTGGTTGACTGCAAATGTGGAAATAGGCAAAAAATGGACGGAGTTCATTTTAAACAGAATAATATTCCTTATGAAAATATTTTGAAAATTGTAGAACACGCGCTCTCCCTTCCAGGAACAAATGCAGCAACAAGACGTGTTTTTTCTAGTATCAATAAAACATGGACAATTGAAAAAAACGCAGTTGAACATTAAAACTTTAAAATCTGTATTAAGCGAAAATATAATTTAACCAATTCATGTGAGAAATTTACGACATTTTAATAAATGATTCGAATCTATTATAAAGTATTCACTCGGATAAAAAATATAACCGTGAAAGAAAATCATGATTTTTTTAATAAAATATTAAATTAATTTAAAAACATAATATTCAAATTATTGTTTTTACAAATATTTTGATAGTTACCAATAGTTAATAATAAATATAATTTCGTATATTTATAGACAAGTATATGAATGTATATAATAAAATATATTTTTTTGAATTATTGGTTTGCTTTCATAACTAAATTATAATTCTCATTTCATTCCATTTGTTCAGCTTTGTCTCAATGAAAATGTGGTCACTTTATTTAGCCTAGCCCCTACAACACGAAGGCTGTCTGCCTAAATAAAAGAGAAGATGCTGCCGCGGAGGGAGGGAAATTTACTAGCATGTTATGTTGGACGGAGGAAAGCTTGCTGATGTAGACAACCCATTCGCCAAAATTCAAAGATTCAAACCATTGTCTAACCCTTGTATTTATATTGCAAACACGCAAACCTTCTAGCCTCTCGAAATAAGCACCCGACAAATTACCAGTATTCCGAAAATATACTCCAACGCTCCATGCGTAAAATAAGAAATGGCAAAGGTATTCCCAAAATCAAAAGAACAGAAACATGCTCAGTGAGGAATCAAACTTCATCCAGAAGGATACAGCCAGGTCCGGCGTTAGGCTTTTCACCGTCCGGCGCAATGTTTCCTATTCCTAGATTCTCCCACTCAGTGCCTCCCCAAATTTTCTAAATTCTGTTTCCCGCTGTGGATGCATGGTTTCGGATCCGACCCTGGCCCCAGCAAACAGTACGTAGCCCATTTTAGCTTTCACTGTAAAGCCGAACAATAAAATATGTAATTATTATAATTAAACAATAATAATTTATTGAATTACTGTATAAGGCCTAGCAATGACTAAGCGATAAAATCACTGAACATTGTAGTAGTTCGAAGCAGATTGAAATCTCGGGGAACGGGCTGGCTGTATGAGAGTTTTCATGATTTTGCCCGTGTGTAACGTGGATTCAAGTTAGTTTCCCTCAAAAAGCCCTCCAAGAAGGCATTCCCTCCCTTGGCTGATAAACTTGTGTGCGTGACTATAATCCATATTTCTAAAAATATGCCTACAATTTTAATAATTATTTTAATAACATTAGTTTTAATTCATTGGTTTTTATCATCAGTTTATCACATTAGTTTTAATCATAAAGTATAAGTATTTGTATAAGCATTCTAAAAGTTAAACACACACTATAGAATTATCATTATAAATTTTATTATTAAGTAATTTGAAAAAGATATTCATAAATGTTATTCGTATAACATTAACGATGATAATTTTTAAAATTCCTTTGAGTTAAATGTCTTGTCTTTAATGTATTTCTTGTGTAACATGAGCTAACACAATAGCTAATTGTTCCCAAAAGAAATACGTAATTTTGAAGTAAAAAAATTCTAACTACTTATTACATTTATTATTAAATATAAGATAACAATTATATAGTTCGATTAGTAACTTTGAACGAGAGTAGTATCTTAGAATAAGTATCTTCAAAAAACAAATAAAACTGAAACAAAAGCTTGAAAACTGAAGCAATATGGGGGAAAAGACGATTAGACGATGAAATGTGTACAGTATATTAAAGCTGAGCTGATGAAATCAGATGGAACGTCAACAGTAATCAAAAGTTCTACTATTAGTCTATCTTGCTTCAAAGTAGCTCTAAAAGTGTTTTCATTCCCTTAATGGGCCTAAAATTATCTAACATAAATTCAAAATCTTTTACATAAAATCAGTCTTCGCAGGAAAAAAGGAGTCCAAAAGGAACGTCAGTCGCGAATGGGATATTAGTCTCGAAACAGCATTATGCGTTGCAACAAATGTGTTGTGCCACTTTTCAAATTGTTGCCAGCAAATGTTATCGCTCTGTTTTATATTTACAGGAATTATTAATTAAGAATAATGAAGAATCTGCATGCATGTATGTTTGTTTCTTGCACTGT